GGTGACACGGTGACACCTTCCAGCTGCAGGACACGCGTGGCAGCCTTTATCCTCTCACCCCCCCCGCGGGGATCCAGTGCTAATTCATCCTGAACCACAGGATTGTCGGGAACGGGAAGAGCCAGCGGATTATCCCCGGCGTTCAGCACCGGGAGCAGCAGCTGCTGGCCAGGGAGGGCTGGGACAGCATCCCACCCCCTGTCCCCTGGGGGACACAGCCTGGGCTCAGCATCACCCCCTGGAAGCCACGGTGACATCCCAGAGGTCGGGGCTCACACGCTGAAGTGACCAGACCTCCCAGGAGGAACTTGTGCAATGATAGGAGCAATAATTCTCCCCAGCTTGATGAGGGCAGCAATAATTAAGGTTCTCGCTCACCCAGGGAAGGCTTCAGGATGGAAACACTTCCCTGGAGCAAACCCACCCCAGTGGCCCGTGGCTGGGGGGGATCTGAAGTCCCCCCAGGAATCAAGGGCTCTGCAGCAGCTCCTGCTCAGGTCACAGGGCTGCTCTGCTGGTCCCTCCTGCTGCCCCCCGAGCCTCACGTGTCCATCATGGCACTCGTGTCACCTGGAGGATTTCACCTGCCCATAACATCTCCCAAGATGGACACAGCCAAGTTCAACTCCAGCACTTTGTTTAACTTCAACAAGTCCCACTCAGGACCTGGATGGGAGCTTCACTTCCCTGGTTTTGCCACTTGTATCATCTCAGCTGAAAAAAAAAACCTCTCTTCTCCCAGCAACCCCCAGTTCCCGGGATGACTGTAAATGGGAACAAACACAGCAGGACCCCAAGAAAAAGGATGGAAAATGAGATTTCTTTTAGGAATCCACCTCGTGCTGCTGGAGTTGCCCATCAGAGGACAAGCTCCCAGCTGCCAAAAAGATGGGGGGGGGGAAGAGCAATCCAGGGCACTGTGTTTCCCTCAGATGCCCTTTGAGATGAAGAAGCCGTTTGACCCGTCCCTGAGGGAACATCCTTCGTGTCTCGCCCTGCAAAGCAGCTGTCGGGGAGGGGGG